GAGATCAGCCTGGGCAACAGAGAGAGATCCTGTCTCTTCAAAAAATATTTTTTTTAAATGTATTTACAACGCATTAACTTACAGGACTCTCAAAATCCCATATTCAACTTCTATTTGTTTACAATACAGGCAACCAGGCAAATAATGAAAGAGAATAAGGTGTGAGACAGGCTTACAATCTTTCTCAGCCTAGCCAGAATTGGAGATTTTTTTCTCCTGTCTCCAAAACAAGACTCCGAGAAAGCTCTTTTTTTTTTTTTTTTTTTTTTTTTGAGTTGGAGTCTCAGTCCATCGCCCAGGCTGGAGTACAGTGGCATGCTCATGGCCAGCTCACGGTCTCCCCAGCATCAACCTGCTGGGCTCCGCGATCCTTCTGCCTCAGCTTTCCAAGTAGCCGGACCTACAGGTGCTTGCCACCACACCTGGCTAATTTTTGATTAATGGTAGAGATGAGGTCTCACCATGTTGGCCAGGCTGGTCTCAAAAAGAAAGGTTTTAAGAATATAAAAAGGCCGGGTGCGGTGGCTCAGGCCTGTAAACCCGGCACTTTGGGAGGCTGAGGAGAGTGAATTGCCTGAGCCCACAGTTTCAAGACCAGTCGGGGCAACATGGCGAGACCTCGTCTCTACAATAAGTCAAAAAACTAACCGGGCACGGCGGCACGCGCCTGTAGTTCCGACTACTTGAAAGGCTGAGGCAGAAGGATCGCAGGAGCCCAGCAGGTCAACACTGGGGTGACAGCGAATGTGCCACTGCACTTCTGCCTGGGCGACAGAGAGAGACTCTGACTCAAAAAAAACAGTTAAAAAAAATTAGGCAAAGGTATATCATGCAAATGCAAACACAAAGAAATCAAGAAAATCAGTATTACTGTCAAAGTACAATTCCAGGCAAAAAAAAAAAAAAAAAAGTCAAACAGACTAAAGTAAGCCATTTGTCACCAGTAAAGGAATCTATAATGGAGATATATGTCATGAACATAAATATTACAACATCAAAACATACAACACGCCTCGATCTTCTAGGCTCAGGCAATCCTTTCCCTTTAACCTCCTGAGTAGCTGGGACTTCAGGCATGCACCACCACTCCCAGATAATTTTTTGATTTTTTGTAGAAATGAGGTCTCCCTATGTTGCTCAGGCTGGTCTCGAACTCCTGGGCTCAAGTAATCCTCCCACCTCAGCCTCCCAAAGTGCTGGGATTACAGACATGAGCCACCACGCCCAGCCTACAATTAGAATTTCTAAGAGAAACAGAGAAAAATGACAAACCATGTAAGAAAAAAATAAAAGAAGTTCAATAACTTTATTGATAAAGTTGACTGAAGACTAGATCTTACTCCACTTAGCAGTACCTATTGAAATTACCTAATATGGCCAATTAGTAATGCCCAAGAAAATGTCATTAAGTCCCCAAAGCATTCCAAAATGTAATAAAACCAGAAAAAACAACAAAGCATAAATGTTACACACAAAAAAATTACCACTTGTAGTAAACACTTATAATTAATTCTTCAAAGGGAAATAAAAATAGCAATTATATGCTTTGAAAGTAAGGGTGAAGAGACTATATATTAAAACACTCATAAATCATTCATCAATCAAAGAGTAAAATTAGAATAGCAATTATATCATGCCTTGAAAGTAAGGATAAAGAGAATACATATTAATGCCTAAAGAATTCTGCCAAAACTCAAATCTAGAAAGGAGAAAGAAATATTAAAGACTTTTATAGCCGGGCTCGGTGGCTCAGCCTGTAATCCCGCGCCTTTGGGAGGCTGAGGTGAGTGGATTGACTGAGCCCACGGGTTCGAGACCCACCTGGGCAGCGAGACCTCATCTCCACAATAAATCAAAAAATCAGCCAGGCGTGGTAGCACACGCCTGTAGTTCCGGCTACTTGGAAGGCTGAGGCGGAAGGATCGCCAGAGCCCAGCAGGTAGAGGCTGTGGTGGCCAGGAGTGGCCACTGCATTCCAGTCTGGGCGACAGAGTGAGACTCCAACTCAAAAAAAAAAAGACTTTTATTATCAAAGAGAAAGGAATGGAAATAAGTTAAATTTTTAAATACATTTAACTCAAGAATTTAGAAACAGAACAATATGACGAATTTAAAAGAAGCATAAAGAAGGAAATAATAAAAATAAGAAGAGAAATTAAGTTAGAAAAAAGAAAGACAATTTTAAAACCCAAGAGCTCTTTCTTTAGGGAAAGAAAATAGTGATAAAACAGACAGCCCAAGCTAATCAACTTTTATTTGTATTTATTTATTTATTTATTTATTTTGAGTCAGGGTCTCATTCTGTCACCCAGGTTGGAGTGCAGTGGCACAATCACGGCTCACTGCAGCCTCAACCTCCTGGGCTCAGACAATCCTTCTGCCTCAGCCCCCAAGCAGCTAGGACTATAGGCACACACCATCATGCCTGCTCATTTTTAAATTTTTTTGTAGAGATGAGGTCTTGCTACTATATTGCCTAGCCTAAACTCCTGGGCTAAAGCCATCCTCCTGCCTCCCAATAGTCAACTTTTAAAAAGTGAGAGAAAACCAAAATTAGGAGTTAGAATAACTTGGGGGTTATTATATGTTCCCCAGAAAAGATGTAAGCGAATATTCCTTATGACATTCTGCCAGTATATTTAAAATATCATCCAAATAGACATTTTTAAGAAAAGTATAAATTTTAACATTTGACTTAAGAAAATGTAAGAAATATAAACAGACCAAAATCGTGGAAGAAACTGACAAAACTGCCAAAGCATTGCCTCCCTAAAGGAGTTAAACTTAAATAATTAAATAATGTTATGAGCAAATGTCCAGCTTTAAAGGAAGGGAATAATTCCGAAGTGCTATAAACTTTTCCAGAGCAAATATATATATGGAAAACTTCCCAAATCATTTGAAGGAACTAGCATAACCCTGATAATGAAATCAGAATGGGCAGGCTCTAGAAGGAGAGAATGACAAATCTTTACAACAGTGCATAAATAAACAGAGGCAGACCTGAGTAGATACTACAAAAACGTAGACACATACCTTGCTCCCAGGAGGGATGACTCAATAAAATCCTAATTCTCACTAGATTCATTTGCACATTTAATCCAACTTCATTTAAAATTTCAGACACAGGGAAGTAGCCCAGATACCTGAAATGACTCAGCCATGATCACCCAACTATTCAACGCAGAGCTAAGATGTAAAACCAGATCTGCCTGACTCCAAAGACCATCCTTTTCCTAGTGGAAAGTAACTTGAAAGGGTAATTGGATATTAGTAGAAACACCTGACACCAAACAGCAAGCTGTCATCCTGACTGAACAGTGACAGATGAGTCTGTGTTCATCTTTTAAAGACTACATATTCCTACATCCATAGTCGTTTATTGTTAATTTCATAAAGTTTTCCTAGCTATCAGATAAATTTTACAATATCTTTGCCTACATATTACTAACTTGGAAAGAAATACTCTTGTTTTATATACAAATACCAAGACAAATACCAAGAGACCCCATTTGCGTAGTTTCATAGTTGGTTTTATATTATTGTTAAGATTGACAGGTTTTTTAATTATTTCTGCTAAATCTATGTCACTTTCCAGTACCTGGTTGAGGTATATTTTCTTAAGTGGGACATCAAACAGCTAAATAAGAACTACCTCGACTCCCCCTAAATAATAAATGGCAGCAATGACCTCTCAAGGTTTGTTTATAAGGTACTTAATTAGTCATCATACTTAACCAGAATTATTTTTTAAAAATAAACTTATTGTAATTGTCACAATGTTGTTTAAAAATCCATGTGACAACTGTGTGCAATGAGGTTTATTCCTATAATCCCACTTCTTAAAGCTTCTTCCTGTCCACCCTCTTTTTAATGTTTGTTTGTTTGCTTGTTTATTTATTTATTTATTTATTTATTTGAGTCAGGGTCTCACTCTGTCGCCCAGATTGGAGTACAGTGGCACGATCATGACTTACCACAGCCTCTACAATCCTTCCACTCGGCCTCCTGAGTAGCTGGGACTACAGGCATGCAACACCAAGACTGGCTAATTTTTAAATATTTTTTTCTAGATAACAAGGTCTCACTATGTTGTCCAAGCTGGTCTCAAACTCCTAGGTTTAAGCAGTCCTCTTGCCTCGCCCTCCCAAAGTGCTGAGATTACAGGAATGAGCCACCACATCTAGCCCATTCCTTTTTTTTTTTTTTTTTTGAGTTGGAGTCTCACTCCATCCCTCAGGCTGGAGTACAGTGGCACCCTCATGGCCACCCCAGCGTCGACCTGCTAGGCTCAGGCGATCCTTCCGCCTCAGCCTTCCAAGTAGCAGGAACCACAGATGCGCACCATCACGCCCAGCTAATTTTTTTTTTATTGTAGAGACGAGATCTTACCAAGTTACCCAGGTTGATCTCGAACCTGCAGGTTCCACTCACCTCAGCCTTCTGATGTGCTGGGATTACAGACTAAGCCACCAAGCCGGGCCCACCTCTCTTTGCAACCAACATCCACCCTCCTGTACCCTAGGGCTATTCCCTAAACATTCACTCTCAACCTGATTCCCCCATCCTAATAAGTTCTGGGGTCACTCTAATCAGAGATGTAAAGCTACTGGGTCAGTATCCCTGACTCCTCCTCTACCACAGGCAAGGGCAAGAAATGACTTTTGAGTTTACTATCAAAGATAAGCCACATGGCTACCCTCTACTGCCTTAGATATTTGAGAATGGAATGCATTATCACCTAATGTTTTCCTCTTTTAAAATGCCTTTGTATTACCTTCCACCTCTACCAGAAACAATACCTCAGAGCCCATTCAGGCTGGTACCAACAGAATAGGAGTCTCTGACCTGCTCTGGTTCTGACCCCTGGAGCAACCACATCTGAGTACAAATCTCAAAAGTAAATATGAACTGTACCACTCAGTTGATACTGAAGCACATTTCCACACATCCTGCACTTAGCATTTTCTAGGAGGAAATGAGACTTCACTTCCACCTACCAGCTGTCTGGAAACCAATGATGGCTGGCACAGAGCGCCTGGGAGGGGCTGTGGAAATGCTCACGGTGTAGTTGGTGTCTTTGTACAGGTCTAGGCACACTTCTGGGGTCCTGCTGTCTGTGGTCAAGTTGACTGTCTCCTCATGAGCTGGTTCCAGAGGGTCCAACCGTTGTCCTTTTATGTATATCTTTGTGAGAGAAAAAGACAAGATAATCTGCCCTGACTCCGGTCAAAACAACTAAGACTTGGTGGTGCTGGATCCTGTTCTCCTACTATTCCAATTTACACTGCCCCGCTCAACCTGTGAGCATAAATAAGGTAAACCTCTGCTATCAGGTATCTGATGATGACATCTGATCAGTCCGGTAATCAACAAACCCTAAGAGGTGACATCAATGCGGGGTCTCCCTAGGAAGTGTTTTCCTGCAAGCAAATGACCAGCAACAAATGGAGGCAGCTACAATCTGAGGACCATTCGCTGCATTCTGTCACTGAGTCAGTAGATTGCTTCCAGGCTTACTCTGGGGGAGTGAAATACAAGTGCTCGGAAACAAGCAATAATGACGATGCCAAATATAAAAGCATCCCCTCCACACACACCCTGTCGAATGACAAATATTAAACACAAAATATAAAATAACAAAATAACCCAAATATTTTTAAAAGTCCATTCACTCTTTCTTTTTAAATGACAATAGGACTGGAAAGCAATTAGATTAAGATCTCATGGAAGCAAGTTCCTCTGACTAATATTCCCATGAGTCTGTCCTAGCAGGGAAAAAAGAGATCCCTTTACTTACCACATACATAATCTTGGAGCTTATTCTTTCCGAGTTTATTTGCCATTTCACACAGGTGTTATTAAACAGTAATACATCATTAATTTCTGTCCTTATTTCTAAAATAGAAAAAGAGAGTTGACTCACAAAATGCATCAATGGTCTTTGGAAAAGTCCTAATGGAGATTATTTTTTTAAATTATTTTATTTTATTTTAAAAATGTGGGGTACAAATGAGGGTCAGGTACATATGTGGTCATCATTCAGGTAAAATGCGGGTACTCTTATTGATTTTATTGTTCCATCCCCAAACCTGGCAGTGTCCCACTACTGCCAATTCCTTTCTTATAGTATTATGATAAACGTTCAGGGTCCACTTATGAATGAGTACATGTGGTAATCACATCCTTGTTTATGTGATAAATCACTGAGTATTATAGACTTTAATTCCATCCAGGTTGTTGCAAAGTTCATAATTTTATTTTCTTTATGGCTGCATAATATTCCATCATGTAAATGTACCACGGTTTCTTTATTCAGTCCACTTTCAATGGGCAGCATGGTTGGTTCCATGTTTTTGCTATTGTGAATAATATTGCAATAAACATGTGTGTGCTGGAGATTATTTTATATGCACAGCTGGTGCCTCTGCTGATCACTACTCATCCTCTGAGTCAGATACTGAGTCAGGCAATTCAAGCTATCCTGGGTCAATCATCCAACTTCCCTTCATCATGAATGAGCCTGGCCCATTACCTGATTTGGAGGAAAAAGAAAGATTCTTGCTTGAGTGTGGGTAAGAATTTCAACCTGTGATGAGCCTGACAGGCCACTGGATGCCACTGGTATTCCATGCAGGTGAGATGGAGTAGCGCTTGGAGCTGGGTCCTGAGTCGTCCTAGAACTGTGCAATCTGCTTTCACCTTTCTCATCCCAACCGGGTGGTGGGGAGCTTTCATTCAAGTCACTGCTATCCCCAAGGGGAGGAAATGACATGTATTACATCACAGGACTATGCCTCAGAAGCAGCTTGAGGTAAACTAAAGAAATTCTCCACAAGGTTCCTAGATACTTCTGAGACTCCTTTAACTGAAGCTATTTAATCTTGGTCTATGAGGAAGTCACTGATTTCTTTGGGTTGTTCTGCTTCTTTTAAGTAGTCTGCATACATTGCATGTAATGGCTTTAGTAATGTGGGAAACCAAACTGGGCCTTCATTCCCTGAGGCAACCCAGTTTCCAGCAGACCCAGGACCCAATCAACTACCCAGGTAGTTCTTCAGAGAGGAAAGTGTGGGGGGACATCTAGCTCTCCATTTCTTTAAAACCAAATTCCCTGCAGATAACTAAACCTCTATTTGCAAATGATATGATCTTACATATAGAAAAACCTAAGGAACACACACACACACACACACACACACACACATAGCTGTTAAAGCTAAGAAAGGAATCCAACAAGGTTGCGGGATACAAGGTCAATGTTCAAAAATCTATTGTGTTTCTATAAACTAGCAATGAACAATCCAAACATGAAATTAAGAAAATAGTTTTGCCGGGCTTGGTGGCTCAGCCTGTAATCCCGCGCCTTGGGAGGCTGAGGTGAGTGGATTGCCTGAGCCCACAGGTTCGAGACCCACCTGGGCAACTTGGCAAGACCTCATCTCTACAATAAATCAAAAATCAGCCGAGCGTGGTAGTGCATGCCTGTAATTCTGGCTACTCAGAGGCTGAGGCGGAAGGATGGCTGGAGCCCGGCAGGTTGAGACTGCGGTGGCTGGGAGCGGCCACTGTACTCCAGTCTGGGTGACAGACTGAGAATCCAACTCAAAAAAAAAAAGAAAAAAGAAAAAGAAAATAGTTTTATTCACAATAGCATCAAAAACGAAAGAAAATTCCCTGCAGAAAGAAGCCACCATACTCTCATCCCTGGAGAAGATAATCCTCATGTCACCAAATAGGGATATTTCACAGCTCTAATTGAAGCTTTCCCATTGAAGCAAACACCTCTAGGGGTTCCTTCAGATTCTCTCAGCCTCATCTGCCCCTTGTTCCAGCTTTGCATGGGCTTTGACAACATGGTTGTGTCTTGCCTTCTATTCTGGGGCTTCCCTGCTGTGGCACCCACATAAGGCACATGCAACCAGGAAGTGCAGGGGAGTTAAAAATCCCATGGGGACAAGAGCTAGTGGATAAGTTCTTCTTTCTTTCCCCTGAAGGGCAGTCCTACAAAGACCTAGTTTCTATAGCCACTGAGGACACTTTTGCACAGATGGAGCAATACTCACCCTCTGTGGAGACCAGTCCAATAGGCATCCTTACATTGGCTCTCCTCCTTTCCCTGCTTTGCTGCCCTTGGTCCCCACTCCTGCTTCCTGGGGTTGTATTCCCTATTGCATGATAAATATAAGCCCTCTGCTTCAGGTCCTGTTTTCTGGGAAACCCAAAGGTCCCATCAAGAAGTATAAGAAAGATAATTCTCTTCTCAGAAAATGACCTTCCACAATTCAGTTCCTATTTCTCCCTTCTAGTAAATCTCTTCTCAGCCTTCAAGTAGGAAAGAAAGTCTACACCTTAGATACCTGCAGGGTCAACTCATATTCCTGTATATACAGAACTAATATCTACTTTAGGTTGACCCTGGTCTACAGGTCTCTCTGCCCAAGGACATTTTACATTTTCATTAAATTACTGCATTGGCAGCATGACTTGGAATCTGTGTCCCACATGAGCTGGTTTTGGGTAAACCCAGGCTATCTATTAGTAAGTGAGAATTTACAGAGGCAGAGAGAGAGAAACAGGCAAATTCCTACAGAGATATCAGAAGACCACCACAGCTGTCTAAAGCATTCCTGGATCTCTATATCAATACTTCTCCCCAGAACATAGATAATTTGAAATCAAAGAAATACTCCAGTTGTGGACATTGGTAGATAAGAGATGCAATGACCTTATCAGTTCACCCCATTGTATGGCATAAAGATGATGTTGACCTGAATAAGCCCCAAATATTCCTGGCCCCTTCCCTCTCCACTGCCCTTCAAAGTCCCAGAGCTTTCAACATCTTTGCTCACTCTGATATCCTTCTGATGTTAACTCCCCACCTAGACCAGAAGGAAAAGGAAGCATCCCACCCCTCACCTTCTCTCGGGGTTGCCAGTAAAGCAAATTTCCTTCTCATTCTGGGCCCTTTTGTCACCCAGGCAGAAATTAGAGAGGAGTTTCCTTTTTTGTCCTTTCTTTTTGCTCATTCACTATGACAACTGTAAATGGCATCTCAAGGATGCCATCTGCCTCTAGCCTGTGCCATGCTCTCTGCACATAGAGGATTTAGATCTGATTATGGGAACCAGATACTTCATCCCAAGAAACAATTTAACAAAATTTGGTTGCTTTGTCCTCCAGGTGTCTACAAAAGAAGACTCCTTAATAAATATATCAGATATTAATCATCTATATTAATGCTTCCCTTGTAAGAGATGACTTGGGACAATATGCCCTAATTCCAATAGTACTGAAAATACTTCTGGAAGTCCCCTTTGTGACTGTCTCTAGTTCTCTTTCACTCACTATTCACTACTAACTGAATGGCTGTCGGATGCCAAGCATCCTACCATGCCAGACACTGGACTGTGACAACAATCGGAACACCAGTCCTTCCTTCAAGAAGCTATCATCTACTGAAAGGAGCAAGCAGATAGGCAGGTAGATTGCAACTCACCAAGTCACAAATTATTACAAAGCTACACATAAGTACTACGGGGTATAGAGAAAGAGGACATCAACTCTCCCTGGAGGACCTGAGAAAGTCAGCTTCATGGAGGGTGTGACCTTCATGGATTAATGGCTACAGAGTGGGGAAGACAGGTAAGCAGACAGAACAGCAGGTTCAATGTCTGGGACAGTGAGAGGATGTGGCATAGTCTGAGAGGTGAGAAAGAAGTGTCATGTGACTGCGAGAAGTGTCACATAACCTTGGAGGCACAAAGATAAGAACTGAGGCTGCACAGGGAAGACAGAGTCACACTGGAAAAGGCCTTGCTGGCCTTAGCAAGTATAGACTGACGCCTATAAGCAACAGAGAGCCAAATGCATGAAAATGATAGGAAGAGTGTATTTTTTAGAAAGACAACTGTGGTATATTTTGAAGGACAGTCTAGATACAGAAGAATCAGAGGTCACAAGGAAAGAATATTATACCATTCACTCAGTGATCACTACATGTCAGACAGGGATTGCTTTATAGACTTTATCTCATCTCCACAGCAGTCATAAGAAGCAATAATAAACACAATAAAAAGAGTGAATATTTATCAAGTTTTTACTATGGACCAGATAGCGTATATAGTACTTTAAATGTATCGTTTTATTTAATCTTCAAAATAACCTCATGAGCTAGATATTATTGTGTCCATTTTCTAGATCTGAGGCTTAGAGATGTTAAGTAACCCGCCAGAGGTCATGGAGCTAGTAAGCAGTCAAGTCAGGATTGAAAACTCTATGTGTCAGACCCCAGAGCTAAGAGCCTTTGCATTGAAGCAGTTATTCAGCAAAGAGGTTAAGAGATGAAACAGGGCGCTGTATTACAAAACAAGGCAATTCTGAGGGAGAATCCATAGGAGGCCAGAGATAAGGAACAGTGTGAAGTCAGTGTGAAGTCTGGCTGACCGGCAGCCTCTGAGCTTGAGAGTCTAAATGGATTACCTTCCACAGCTCTCCTAAGAAATACAGGAGGAGGCAGGCTGGGTATGTGAGAAAGAGATTAATGAATTATGTTGAGGACACACTAAATTATCTGCTGACTACATGGGAAAAATTAATCTTAAAAGTCACGGATATGTGGACGGTGGCTGAAGGTATGCATGCAGGTAAGACATTCAGGTAGGACACAGAGTGGCCCAGTGGCAGAACACTGGGAGACACCAAAACCCAAGGGAAAACCAGAGGAGAAAGAGCAATGCAACAGAGAGATGGGAGACTGGCAGAGAAAGTGATGTCCAGGAATGAAGAGAGGGAGGATTTGAAGGAAGGACTCTTCTTTGAAAATGATACCTGTTTCTTTCTACTATTCCCCCACAAACTCCTCACCCCCACACAAGAAGGACCTGGAGCAGGTCATC